GATAGCGAAAAGAGATGATTGTATCGTCAGAGCTGGGGACTGGAGGGGAAGAAGGAGGAGAGGATCCGGATGGGTTTTCATATATTGAGATGAGTATTGATATTGTAGGGCTTGTGTATTTTGGGGTTGGGATTAGAGAGAAAGGAGGGGAGGAGGAGGGTAAAAGAGGAAGAGGAGAGGAGAGGAGAGGAGAGGAGAGGAGAGGAGAGGAGAGAAGAGGAGAGAAGGGAAGGGAAGGAACGGGATAAAGATGGTGGAAAGATGTTACGACGGGTAACATATTTCCGCATCACATGACTAATCACGGGATCAGAGCCATCATGTGACCGGCTCTAAAAGATCTCATTAGAGTCATTAGAGCCAGAACACGAAGGTCTATGTAATCAAGATGGATTTCCTTTGTATAGAGCTTCGTGCTCAAGATCAATCATTTAGTATACTCTACTATTAGTTACGAATTGCAAATCATTATTGTCATTACTTAAGTCCCTGCTTGACGCCTAGTTATAAACCACCTCGAGAGCCTAGAGCACTTCCACGTGATCTAGACGGCAAACCTCGTAACAAAAGAGATGATTATATATTTTGGGCTAGGGTTTAAAAGTGGAGGGAAGGAGTGTGGAGGGGAGGAGGAAGAGATGAATGAGAAGGAGAAAAAGAGTTTAGAATAATTTAAAGAAGAATAGAATTTATTATTTTGTAACGATACTATACTGGAGGCAGCGGCTGCCTAAGGTTTCGTCTGGTTGGTAGTTGTGGGTTAAGGCTTTATCACTGGTATTCACTTGGAAGTGAAGTCGTTACTAGATCAAGTAGAATGTAGGTAAACTAATTGATAACTAAGTTGAGCACGAAGCTCCTAAACTATGAAACTACTTTGACTATATAATGATCGATAAAGGGAGCCCCCAGGAGCTTTCTGGCTCCTCAGGGCTCCTAGGGCTCCTTATCACGTGATTCCTTTTCATCCCAAGACACTAATCCTAATGGTGAATCGTGACATATTTACTATACAAGTCTTACATCCGGCCTATTTTATTATTATTATTATTATTATTATTATTTTAAAAAGAAGAGATTCAAGTTAATAAAAAGTATTTATACTTCTTAAAAGGATATATTTTAAAACCGAGTAGTTGTGACGCCTCACACCTCCGGGTCACGTGGCATGCCCCGTTTGTATTTAATCATAGGAAAACTCTCTACTCTTGTTTTCCTTCTTCTTTTCTCCTTAGCTTAGTATTTTCTAATACAAGATACTTTACCCAGTATTCTTGAGTGTGACAGTAGTAATTAAGAATATTGTCACGATTCATTAATTCACGTGACCTCGAGGACCTTTTGGACCTTAGGGTCCCAAAGGTCCTCAAAAGATGATATAGGGTATATAAACATTCATTTAGTCTCGTAGTTAAGGAGCTTTGTGCTCAACTTAGTTATCAATTAGTTTACCTACATTCTACTTGATCTAGTAACGACTTCACTTCCAAGTGAATACCAGTGATAAAGCCTTAACCCACAACTACCAACCAGACGAAACCTTAGGCAGCCGCTGCCTCCAGTATAGTATCGTTACAAATATACAAATATCCATAAATCCACTATTAGCTCTTTTTTATATTAATTACTAGAGTTTCTATAATTAGGTATAGAACTCTACTTTCTATAGAATTTAGCTTTTCATTTATTATAATATGATTATGTTTATCTTGTTGTATGTTCAGTAATGAATGAAGAAAATAAAGAGAAGAGAAGAGAAGAGAAGAGAAGAGAAGAGAAGAGAAGAGAAGAGAAGAGGAGAGTAAGATCATGAGATTGAAATGATTCTTGATTGGTTGAGATGGGGGCTGGGAGGTGAGGATGGGGAGATGGGATTTTTATGTTTAATGTTTTATGCTTTTTGGAGATGAGGATTTGAGGGTTAGGGGGGAGAGAAGGGGAAGGAGAAGGAGGGATAGAAGGAGAGGGGATATAAGGAGAAGGAATTGAAGGAGAAGGAATAGAAAGAGAATAGAAAGAGAAGGGATAGAAGGAGAAGGAATTAGGGGCAAGGAAAAGGAAAGAAAAAAGCGGAGAAGAGAGGAGAATGAATGAGGGGGTATTAGAAGATGAGAGTTAGAAAAGGAAGAGAAGGAATAGAAAGAGAAGGAATGAGGGGAGAGAGAAGAAAAGAAAAGAGCGGGGAAGAAAGAGGAAAATGAATGAGGGGTTAAGATTCTATGGATTAGGAGATAGGGGTTCCAAAATAGGAGTCGGAATGGGGATTGGAATGGAAATTATGAATGGAATGGATTGATATTGTTGTGTATCATATTCATAATTTGATTTAGGGCTTAGAAGATGAAGATAAAGAAGAAGTAGAGGAAGAAAAAGGAGATGCTGTCTACTTAATATATTTGTTATTGATATTATCATTATCATTCCAGCAAAATCAATAATTAGTATACATACCGACATTTCCCACCCCCAGATTTCGGAACTTATTCAAAAACCAAAAACCGTTAACGTTAAACATCCACCCATAATAAAAACCGAAGAATGCAAATAAGAAATGAGAATGTTGCATATCTATACTTTAGTTTATAGACTAATAAAGAAGCGAAATAAAACGGTTTTATGATTACATACAGTGCTGTCTATTATTTGTTCTGCCGAAATTGCAATTGCATGCTTGCTTGCTTGATTTGTTTGTTGGTGGAGAGAGAGGGGAAGCGGAAAAAGTTAATAACTTCATGGGTACGCTATATCGCTATTTTGACTAGGTATGTATGTACTCGATAGCTTTTTATTTAATTAAGTTTTTTGTCATTTTGATTTGGTACCTATGAAAGTGGAAAAGGGATATAGGGATATAGGGAATGCGATAAAATGAAATGAGAGTGTTGTTGCATATCTAGATTTTAGTTCTGTTGATTAGAATTGGGGGAATATTCTTTGCGGACAGATTATTCGGGATATGATTAATTATCAGCTAATCTGTAACCCCCTGGTTTGTGTGGAGTATATAATTTGGTTGTGTGTAGGACCCTGATGACTGACTAGTTTCTAGAATTATTCTGCTTGTGGAATTTTGGTTGAGGGTGTTTTGTATCTTGTTTACTATTTGGATGTTTAACTCTAGGGTTAAATATACTGTGTTGTTGATCTGTTTGATGATCGTCTCATCTCCTTAGAATATATCGAAAGAAGCGAAGGTGGCAAAAAACTAATATAGCTATATAGTCCGTATGAATATACACGGTAGAATATCTTCTCTGCAGAAATTCAAACTATTAGATAATCACATTGTTGCACATCTAAAATTTAGTTCAAGTAATCCTCGCCGCACCGAACAATGGAGCAGTTTGAGGTGGGAGCAAATGTGGATATATAATATGGTATGAGCAAAAGCTAAAGAAAGATGTAACACCTAACCTAGAGTACGTGTCTAGGTCCAAACTATGACGGCCCTGTCTAGCTAGTTACTCCTTTAGCCAAAAAGAACCACTGTTGCATGTCTATATTTTAGTTTGAGAAGCTAGAGATCTTGAGGGAGTTCTTGCACAGGGTTGTAGATGATTTTGTTGCAGGTCTATTTTTTAGTCCGGGAAACTGGATACAGTTCTCTGCGGAGGGATGGGGTTTTGTTGCAGGTCTATCTTTTAGTTCAGGAGATTATAGATTCTTCATGTTGAAGTATGCAGTTGTGTTGCATCTCTAACATTTTAGTTCTGCTGAAGCGAGGTTAGATAATTCATGGATTGTTATTCAGAGTTCTTGTATAGTTATTTTCGGAGATGAGAAGGGGAGGTTTAGAGGTCATTGTTGCATGTCTATATTTTAGTTCAGCGACTAGAGATATTTGCGGGCGGCGGAGTTCTAATAAAGGAATGAGATGAGGATGGTGGGATGTTGTTTGTTTGTTGGTTGGTTGGTGGTTAGTCGGTAGTTTTAACTTCAGCGTTGCATCGCTTGCGGCGGTGTTGTGTTTGTTAACTGGTGCTATTTAGTATAGGTAGGAATGTAGTGCGTTAGTGTTACAAGTCGCTTTGTTTTGTCAAAGAAATTGGCTGCCTGCATTGGTGTTTGTTAATTTCATGGATTTCAAATAGTTTGGCGCTGATGTTGGTGCTGACATTGGTGCTGATGTTCGTGCTGATATTGGTGTTGATTCTGAAGTTAATTCTGGTACTGATGTTTTGTTGACCCATCTACTTACATTGGTGTTTGCTGATTTTTACCAGTATAGATTTGGTGTTGATTTTGGTCAGTGCTGCCTATTAAATATAGTTTCTGGGCTGTCTTATAACACAATTTATTTTACTTGATGATGCCCACATCGTACCTAGTTGGGTATAATTAACCATCCTTGATAGCACACAGTAGCATGAATGGTGGCAGTAATTAGCATAATAACTATACCCATAAAACCAACACGTTCCCTTTGTCCCTCACTAACACACTATTAATTAGTTAGATGTTTAGGATGTTTAGGTACATTAATAGTTCAAGCCCCGAAGTTCAGGCACTTTAGACGTTAGACGAACACTAAATAGGCATGATGACCTAGTCTAGTGTTGTATCTCGCTTCACCATGAGGGTCAATTTATGCCAGCAAAGCCGTTAGCTAGGCGGTAAGAACAGGAACAGGCAGTGGTGCTAGGGAACGCAACACAACTAACTAGCAAAGATTTTCTAGGGCATGAAAATCTCATTTCAATTTGAATTGGGTAATTGGCTTATGTACGAAGAAACTAATATATGTTAGACTACACCGAAGTACTATGAACAAACAAACGGTGTACCTTTAGATTATACTTTATAATACGCATCATCAAAGCTACATTCCAACCACCTGATTAGGTGTACATGTACGCAAAACACTACCAGAGTCATAGGATTAAAGTTCGGTTTTGTACAATTCCTCCTTACCCTTTCCTTCGCATGACCCCTGCAACCGAACTGACAACGGCATGCCGCAATCGTTAAGCCTTAACGTTGCCGGGCGCCAGGTCCCACATAGCCGTCCCATCCATAACATCCCGGTGTTTTGTTTTGTTTCGCGTCCATTGAGCCACTGTTAGCTTCAGCCTTAGCCTCAGCCTTAGCCTGATTACGCACACTCGCTAATTTACTATAACCAGGGGCTTCGGATTTTACCGTTGTGTCCGCCAGCGTCCCTTCACTTCAACATGCTAGTCAGGATTGGAAATTAGATGTTATTGTACTAAATCTGCTGACGTGCAACATGTCTCTTTGTATTAATTAAACAAAGCAGCTAAATTTCTAGTTGTGCAACAAAAACTTCTTGAATGTGGGTATTTTCTTGTGATTCCTGCAGGACTATAACTAAAGGTGCAAGCTAAATTCTAAGGTGTGCAACAAAGCAATCCTATGCTTTCCACAAGTAGCTATCATTGGCGCCAGAGTTGATGGTGTTACCATGTCTGCAGAGCTAATATCAGAGCTAAATTTGTAGTTGTGCAACAAAGTACTCATTCTGAAAAGTAAGCATGAAGGCTTAGTTTCTGGATCAGTGGATGTGCAACAGAAGAGTGATTTGTGCATAGAAATTTGAATAGGTGCAATACTAGTGATGAACCTGAAATGTGATGATTTCGGATAGCTAGGACTTTGATTATGAATATATTTTTATTTGACATGATAGATATGGTATGAATGATTCGATCAATATGCACAATAAACAATACACCATATTATGAGAGTAGGGCGAGTGTGTGGTCTGGTTTTATCTTTCCTGCAATACCCAAGTGTGCTTCTCCTCCCGCGACGGCAGGACCTCTTACTATGATCTGTTGTCTATTGTTAGTAGATGTTTACTTGTAAAACAAGACAAACGGATGGAAAAGAATAAAAAGGGGTCACTATACCTCGCCAACGGAAGATGTATCAGAAGTCTGGTACTCCTTGGTATCCTTCAAAAAGATCTCCACGGATGGTGGAGGCGCTCCAAAGTGCGAGTATTTCTCCGAACCATCGTCTACTCTGTAATCATAAATACCGGTTTGTGATACAGCACCTGCGACCTTTGACGCAGTGAGAGCGTAAATAATTCTTGAGCCTGTGTAGATACGTAGATCTGAGAGCATTTCGGCGCTCAAGGGTGTTGACGGGACGCCAATGGGTTCCGAAACGTAAATTAGACGAAGTTTGCCAGGTGTCGTGCCAATGATTGGGAGAAGGTGATCGTACATGCGGGAAAAGACGGTGGCGATGGGCATAACACCATGCTGTACTAAAGACTGAGTTTGAAACCAGTGAACGACTTGATAGAGTGGTGAAGTTAGGTTATCCTTGGTTTCAGCATGGAGCTTCGCAAGGGTGGAGGACGAGGCAACAACAATTGTCGGAGATGTTCCCTTCGTTGCTAGGACGAGATCAGGGTCTTTGATAGAGACAGAGGTCAAGGAGATGGAAGCGTTTGAGTAAAGTGCCGAAAGAGTTAAGACCAAAGGGTAGATCAACGATAACGGTTCCGCAGAGAGGAAGAGGTCTTTAGATGTAATACGCTGAACCGTGGGTATGGAGGCCAGTTGACCTGACACTCCAGCTACCAATACTGATTGAGTAAATTCCACAAGTTCTCCATTAGGCCAGAATGCAACAACTTTGTTAGGTTCCTTGCCAGCCTTGTCAACAGCAGGTAGCTCAGAACCTGCATGAGCTTCCTGATCTTGGAGAATTTCTTGCCAGGTAGAAACATTCACTGCTCCTCCAGTGCCTTTCGGTACTTCATTCCAGTCCATATGCTTGCTGCCATCATCCACCACCCATATCATTTGCTGCAAAGCTGGATAGGACTTGGCTACCACATCAAACGGAAAAGAACCAACAGCAGCAATAACTGTATCCGCTTTGGACTTGATTATTAATTCTAGTAAACTTTCGGGAGACTCGTCATATGGTAAGAGTATCGCACTGAGGTCGTAAAATGCACAAGCGAACAATGCTGCGAGGTATTCGATAGAGTTTGGTAAATATATGGCAATGTTGTTTCCTCCATTCTGCTTAATATGTTGGCCAATCAGATTGATCTGACGAGTAACATCGGCTGCATGAAAGTCAGTAAGGTGAAAATAATAATCCTCAACGAAGTTGCACAAACCAAGCTTGTGGGTAACAAGTTTATCGGAACCATATATTGTCATGAGGTTACCGATTTCTCCCGTCTCTTTCCCTTCTCTGTCAACAGCTCCAGTGACCGCCCTGCGCCATATATCCCTTAAATCACCATTGCGACCTGGAGTCCATTTCGAGTCACCAGGGTCTTTAACGTGAAGCCCCGAGTTGAGAGGCATGCCATGAGGAGCAGTATGACTTCTGAAGACGGCAGACTGTCCTTCTTGTCTGACTGACGATGCTTGTGATTGACGGGCCAAGAGCATAGGATGCGAATCCGGATCGCGAGATGTTATGACTTTGAAAGCAAAGAAGCCGACGAGAGCCGTAACAATTAAGGTCGAATAAATGTCCCATTCACTGAGAACACCTGTAATAGTCTCATCGAGGTAGAGCATGAAGTTATCAAACCCCATCCTGAAAGATGTTAAAAACGTATTTGCAAGAACAAGCTTCAAGCTTGAAGTGTCTTCATGAGTATGAGTGTATGAGTATGCGTATGAGCATAAGTATGAACAGTATAATACAAGAAAGAAGCCGGCGGGTGGATATTTGGTGATACGTGATACGAGAGCTTTCGACAGTGGCGGGGTGACGATGTCCGACACTACCGAGTGACAAGGGTATTAAGTCGCGCTAGTGCTAAACTAGAAGCGCGCCTTGAGCTTTAACAAACGGGATTCACGATTTCACGAATTCTTGATCAAAACAATCCAAGAAGAACGAATCAGAAAGAATTTATCTTTTCGATAACCTTCTCGACAAACAACAATGCTAACATAGGGTTACTCGTCAATTCAATTGAAATAATACTAATCATAACAATCAGATAAACTCAGCTTATTATCAGCATAAAAAGTGAGTAGTTTGTTCCAAAGCCTTGTTGACATTGAGATTTGAGATCTGCAGCTAGCTAACAGTACGGTACAAACAGAAGCTCACTAGCCTTTCAACAAGACTTTCAAGCTTATAAAATCCTAAAGATTTCTACAATGATACGCACTCCAAGTACGCCGACAGCTCAACGATCATCACCAGCATCAGCAGCGTCGACTGGAAAGTCGGGGTTTGGGGAGCCACAACCCTCTACACCGCAGACTGGAACTTGGAAACACCCAAAATTCGATGAAATTGCAAGACGACAGAATGCGGCCACTTTTACAGACCAAAACATGCGACGGCTCTTATGGAATGGTGCAGGGTTCATTGTGATATGGTACCTTGGTCGAACGCTTTGGGGGACGTAAGTATATAAAATCCATGATTCGATGATATTTGCTAATTGTGACACAGATTTCCTGGTTATTTCTTTGGTGAAGGATTATTCCCAACGATTGCGTCATGGAGTTTTCGAGTGATGGAGTTTTGCCTTATTTTTAACATCGTTGTCGCACTTCGCCCATTCTATGCAAAACGAGACGATATGGAAGATATCCCTCTGACACCTGCGCAACGGAAATTGCTTGGATTGAAACCTAGTTCCAGACCGGCTACTCCAGGGTCGGAATATGTAACTCCTCCAAGATATAGGAGGACGTCAACACCCTTGAGCAGCTCACCTGCAAATCGAAGAGGAAGCCCGGCTTCGGGAAGTCCTTCCGGAAAACGATCTCAGAGCCCGCACGCCCAAGATGGTCTGGAGAGCTTGGTAAATCCACTTGGACCAGTGTACTCACCAGGTGCAAGCCCTTTACTGCAAAAGACTCTGATGAGTGGAAGTGGCAACCGGAGGTCTTCGTATGGTTCGTCAAATCCTCTTGGTCGATCGATAGGTGAGCCTGGAACACCAGGTACGCCAAGTCCATTGGGCGTTGGAAAGACATCAAGTGTAGGATTAAATAGTAAATGGCTCTATGAGAAGGGAAGGAGAAATTCGGGAAATGCCCGATTGTATACGTAAATTTTAGACATAGTAGAATTTGATATAGATACCATTCTGCCCCGCGCTAGTTTATTTATATCTGCGGTTGCTCCAGGCTGTTATGTAATTGAGAATGTGGTTTGAAAAATTCCATGCTCTGGTTTGTGATATTCTTGTGAATCTTAGCTAGCACGTGAAGATTAGCTCAAAGTAAAGGCTATCTTATCGACCAGTACAAAGAAGCTTCGTCAAACAATCTAGAACATTTATATTTCGAACAACTAACAACGACTTCACTCCAAATGCAAGGCGCAATTAAGGATGGGAGCTTCCGACTCGAAATTAGTATTTAAGAAGGGCATCTTCAGGCTTTCAGAGGACAAGGTTATTCCTGCCGATGACCCATATTGGGCTTCTGTAAGTTGTCCGCACATCTTCAGCTGTGCTGTTACTGATTGAGCCTTGTTTAGTTTTGGGAGCTACCAGAATCTACAGAAGATATCTTCAGTCTCTTCTCTCCTGCAGACATTCGAAGAACTCGCGATACCGCATTAGAAAACTTAGAGACTCTGATATTAGCCATAACAAGTCGATTATTCGTTCTCCGACATCACCCCTCATTCCCTCATCCGGAGTTTGCTCCGGAAAGAGATGCATTGAATTGCATTCGGATTCTCACACGCATTCTACCATACATATACGAAGCCGAGAAACTACAATCATGGGAAGAGACATTCTTTTGGGGTTCAAGGAGGAAACGGACACGGTACCTAGTCACACTTCAATGTTGATTGATTCAGTCACTGACTGTTTTGTAGCAAGGCAGCTCTTGCCCGAGACGTGATATTCGATGAGTCCCAGGAAGAGTTACAAAAGCTTGAAGCTGCGGCGCAAGAATTCGAGGAGATTAAACCCTTGGCAGAAGAATTGATCGACACATTGATCGATTTGCTCTTCTTCGCGGACTTTACCCTCCCAAAACCACAAAATAGTAAGAACAAAGTATCGTATGCTATATGGCAAAGCGGAGTAGGATGCAATACGCCAGTCGGGACGAGCAAAGAATTTGAGAATAACCGCACCGAGATACTGAGGTTGCTCTTGACTTTGACTAGTCAGAGCATGTACATGTCAGCGAACTTACTTCCCGTACAAGGTGTGAAGGCTATCACATATATCGCTACTTGTCCGGATAAACAGGTTGTGCTATCTGTGTTGTGCTCTTTACTGAACACTGTGAGGTTATATTATCTCCATCTGTATACGGATGCTAATTTGTACAAAGACCTTGAAATACAACCCTGCAAAATGGCAAGTACCATACAATGTACAAGTTTTCAAAGACCCGAAACAGATACTAGTCACATATGCATTGCAGGTCAGTCAATATACCATCCGTTGGTCTCAGAATCTGATACTCGAACACGTAGTTTTTACTTGCCATTCTCCTATATCCAATACCTGAATCTGGTCCAGCCCAAACTAAGAAAAGTAGGATTTGGTTTCTTTCTGTTTGTGGCTCCCAACTAACATTGCTAGACTTTTTCCGACATTTTCTTGGTCGTCTACATAGACCCCAAGATTTTCAGTTCATTGTAGATGGAATGACGAGAATTTTGAACCAACCTATGAACGCTACTACTTCCTATATCCCCGGGAACCAATCATACGCAAAATGTGCATCAGAAATGATTATGCTGTTCTGGGAAATCACCCAGTGTAATAAACGATTTCGGTCTTTCTTGATTGATACGGATCGATCACACGATTTCGTTATTCTAATCATATTCTATTCCCTTGAATATAGACTTGATGCATCGAAGCAAGGAGTTGTACGAATGTGTATTTTCATATTACAGACCTTGAGTGTGGAGCCGAACTTCGGCAAGAATTTAAACAAGCGATTTGAAGCCCAAGATACTTTGCCACCGAGTATCAGACTTCAGTCATTCAACGGAACATATGCCGATTTCCTTATCCATGTAAGTATCCTGCAATATGTTAAATTTCTAGCAATACTGACCAGGAATAGTCCATCTATAACATAATAACAACAAGCCAAGGAAAACTCACAGCCATCTATCCTGCTTTACTAGCAGTAATAAACAACATCGCTGCTTATCTAGAAAACATTAGCGCTTCCACATCTTCAAAACTCCTGCAACTATTTGCATCAATGTCATCCCCCGGATTCCTGCTATCAAACGAGAGTAATCATGATCTTCTTCAGTCTCTTCTAGAAAGTATGAATGCTATCATTGAGCATCAGTTTCCTAGTGAGTCGCCCAAATACTATCATGTCTCTAGTGAAAAATAGAATGCCAACTAGTATCTAGGAAATCCTAATTTTGTGTACTCTATTTTGAGAAACAAGAGGAAATTTGAAGGTATACTCTCTTCCTTTCATCTTGAAGTTCAGACTGACTCTGACTTAGCTTTACGGCACTTTACTTTGGAAAGTGGCCAAGAAGAGATAGAAAGAAGAAACAGGCGAAAGAAAGAACGTCTAGCAGAATCAGGGGATGTAGATAGTAGAAGAGGCTCTGCGGACAGTATTCGAAGCCCATCTATAAATCACCAACGAGGGCCTTCGGCACTTAGTAATGTCCCAGAGGAGGACACATTTGCCATTGGGGATGATGATGATGAGGATAGTGACGGTGAAGGACGTCCCACCCCAGCAGCGTCGACTCCCACAGAACACCCTTCAAGGGCTTCGTCGATATCCTCGAGCATTGACGATACAGTTCCGACGCAACTGCGGGGAATGTCAGAAAAAGCGAGAGGGAAAATGCCTGGTATGTTATATTTTTGCATTGGGTGGGCGAGTAAAAGGTTACTAACTAGCAATAGCTGGCATGCCCACATTTTCCAGACACAATAGCACAACAAGTTTAAGTAGCTACGCAGTATTTTCATCAAGTGGCGCATTTGAGCCTACGTCTCAGTGGATAGAGACCTGGCTTCCCGAACTCCCACTCCATACAATCTTAACTTTAATCGATCAAATTGATCAACTCCTCTCGAATCCTAACAATCCTTCCGATATTCCTCCAAGTAATGTCCTCCGCACGATCCAAAAAGCCGAAATAAGAGGAATAGAAACCACACCTATTCGCATTCATTCCTTTGAGTGGACACCTTTATCGCTTGGTTGGTACGAATCCCTACTTTGGGCTTTCGTCTTCACATCCGAAATGCAGGTTGCAAAAGGCACCATAGGTGTTTGGAATGGTACAGCAATCAAGTTATTCAGGGTCCAGGAAGTAGCAGCACATGGTCCTACATTTAGCTCCCCGAGAGGTGCAGTTGATGCTGTGGGTAGTAATATTGTCAGTAGGCTTGGTAGTATGAATTTGAGGGGTGTAGCACAGGGCGCTACGACGCCATCACAACAGGGAGGTGGTGGCGGGGTTGGGGGTGGTATTGTGAGGACTGGTACGGGAGGATCTACGAGAAATGAATCACCGTTGGGAGGTAGGAGTGCGATTATTTGATAAGTCGACATAGGAGCATGGCTAGGTATAGAGTGCGGCACGGTTTGGCATACTTGCATGCAATTTGGCAATATCATGGGACATTCACATGCGAACTTCTCTTAAGCGTTGGCGTATAGGGACAAGATAAGATAATTTGCTAGTCTCATATAAGATATGTGGTAGAAATACGGAATCACTTTGAGCGATTTCGAATACCGAGGTCGGACGAGAAAATGTCGGTACCTCCCCTTTACTTTTTGTGACGAAAAGGCTAAATAGAGTGTTGCGCTATTTTATCATGGCAATGTGCTGCGATGTCGAAAGTAGATAAATCAAATTTTGATTCCGGAGTACAAATGTTTTTGGTGAAAACGTCGATGATCATCTACACCTAGGCAAGGCAAGTGAGGAACATGTATTAGATGTGGCTGTGCAACCACATCGACTTCAGAATTTACTTTGACCACGCCCAACCTATCAAAATTTCGCAGGCTTCCGTGATATGCTGTCGGTAGATATCTCAAGCTTGTGTTTCCCGTTCCTGCTTGATCTTCACGATCGACGGATTCTAGAATATGCATCAACGGGAAGAGTGTGGCGGTGCTCTGATGATCATTCCCTAGATAACGCTTTTTGATGGATGGTTTGTGGGGATAACGGCTTTTGATAGGTTTGATGCGTGCGCATGGGGAAATTTAGGGGTCGTATGCCATAGTTGTGGCTTGTGCGTGCACTGAATTAATATTAAGCTTAATTTGAGCTGAGCGCCTGGGTGAAATTGCTTTTTTTAATTTTGTTTTATTTTGCTTTATGGAAATGAGATAAGAAGAGAGTGAAGAGAAAAAGAGACAAGAGGAAAGATAGGTTATCGTCTAGTATTTTTGTTAGTATTGGTATCTCCAGGTGGCATTAGGATATTGGTCAGTCCTAGCTATTTGGTTTTGGATTCGATATTGTGTGTTCTTTTGATTCGGTAGAGAGTGAGAGGTCAGAGGACTGGTGATTTCATTGATTTTGTTGATCTTTTGCACGCGCGGGCAATATTCGTCGGCTGACGGTTCCGGGGAAAGTGGGCGAGATTTCTTGATTGAGTATTGTTATTGAATTATTGGTATACGCCTATTCGTAATGGAATTGGAGAGGAGTACGGTACTTTCGAGTGTGGCGGAACATGTTGAGGAGGGAGAGATGATGGGAATGGAGGAGGAGGTCAAGAGGTATAGGATTCATGTGAGTGGTTTTCTTTTGTTTTAACATTTTTACGCTTTTCTTCTTTCTACACGTTCGTCCCTCTATTTCTAAACTAGTGTGCGGTAATGTATTTGAATTTCGAGTCGGAGATTAGTGGGATTTGAATGCTAGTGCTGCGGCATGGGATGGAAAGGGTAACAATGCTAATGGGATGGCGAGATAGGTTAGTTCGAAATATCTCGATTTGACGAGGAAGAAATTGGAGTTAACGCGGTTACCGCACGAAAGACCTGGGGAGTCGGGTGAGAGTGGTAAGAGTGAAGAAGGCGGGGAAGAGGAATTGAATGAGGACGGCGGGGTAACCAAGAGAGAGATTGAGGAATTAGTTGATTATTGGTATGTATATTTTATATTCTTGTCTGTCTATTTATTTATTTTAGGATTGGAGCTTGTAAAAGGGAGGGAAAAGGCTGACATATTGATGCACAAAAGGCTAGAAAACTATTACTGGCGCATGAGAGAACATCATTATAATACGACGTATCCACAATACCGCACTACGTTTACGATTTCGGAGTCTAATAACAGCGCGCAAAAAGAATCGAGCCGAACTCTTCGTATTCATTTTCTACATATACGAAGTACACGTCCGAATGCGGTCCCGCTGTTGTTGATTCCTAGTTTTCCGAGTAGTAATTTGAGCTTGGATTTAGGTGTGATAGTTAGGGAATTGTGTGAACCGGAGGTTTTGGGAGAGGATGCACAAGGACACGAACACGAACATGGACATAAGCAAGCTTTTGATCTTGTGATACCATCTATTCCGGGCACGGGTTTTAGTGATGAGATACCTGGATCTAAAAGTGATGTAATAAAAGAGACGGCGAACTTATTTGGGCAATTGATGAAGAGGGTGGGATATGAAAATTATATTGCTTCAATGATGGGTTCTGGGAGGGAGAGGGGTGGAGAAGTGGATTATTATTTAGGGAGGGAAATTGGGGATTTGGAGGGCTGTAGAGGTGTGCATTTGATTGAGCCAAGGTGGGGTGTTCCAACTGTCAAAGAAGGGGTTTGGGATTGGATTAGATGGAAGGTAGCGTTGTTTTTTCACGCGGGTGTCTGGGGATACGAGAAAAGGGATTGGAAGAATTTGAGTTTGCAGGTGAGAAGGGGGGAACACAAAGTTCCGGGGAGAGTATCCTTGCTGGGTGGAAAAAAGAAGATGAGATATGGAGCTGTTGCTAGCATTGGCTTGAAAGAACCGGATATTTTGGCTTACGCGCTTTGTGACTCTCCTGTTGGGTTGTTGAGTTTTGTTGCGACGTCATTGAGGAAGAAGAGTCCGAAACATCATTTGAGCAAGGAGAAAATTATTGATCTTTGTCAATTATGTTGGTTACCTGGACCCGAAGCTGCTTTGCGATATTATGCAAATGCCATACGGGAAAGTGAGCAATTGGAAGGCGACATGGTTAACACGAAGCGGAAGAGAGTTGCGATAACGGTTTTTGATGGAGAGGAAGGCTCTGTTGGGTATAGTCCTCCTGCTTGGGGAATGGGTAGATACGAAGTTGTCTTTGTCCAACGGGCCAGTGGAAAACCTGGACTTTTGGAGTGGGAAAGATCGGATGTTATTTTCGAAGGTATTCGTGGTTTGGCAAAGGAAGTGCTTAGATTGGATGATAAGATTCAGCTGCGAAGATTGGAAAGAGTATTTGTTGATGGGGAGCTGGAGCATGATGAGTATAGGGATGATAATGATCATGGTATGCAGCTAGATGTTGAAAGTCCGGATACGATTGTTGCTGGTTGAAGTGGTAAACAAGAATACGGATGATCAGATGATGAGATCGGTGTTGAAAAACAAGAGTGCGGAGATAATAGGGATATACATAATACAAGACGAGAAGGATATATGGGATGGACTGCTAATGAGGGAAGACATGTTTTGAGATACCAATGAGGTTAGTTTTTACGTACGCACACAGAATTTAATGTTCGTTACAACATGCATACCAAAAACATGAGATACCCTCCAACTGAAACACATATAAAATGCCAAGACATCTGATCGACCCCGAAAAAATAGACGCCGCGTTTGTTGGTACACGACACGGTAGATGTTGTGATCGACCGACCTCGCGCTGACAAGGGCATTACAGATAAATAGACACATTTTCTCCACATCTTTCAACCGTGTCGAAAAAATATCTTTGGCTTAGGGTCAGCTTGTCCTTAGTTTGCCCTGCTGGTCCCTAGTATGTAAGACTAATTGTTGCATACATGATTTCAAGACATCGTCCAACAAAGGTTTTCAAATGTGATATGTCATACTTGGAAGGCTTAGTCTTGCTGCTCCTCCCCTCCAAGACCAGCAGGTCGCCAAGAAATCTTGCATGCCTTGGTCTGTGAACCTCAAAGGCGGGGTGATTTCTTTACTTGAAAATTGGGCGGGCGATGGCCATGGGATGTCCTGAGTGTAACTTTTGGTGGGTGTTGGTTATTCGAAATTTTACTGCTGCAGTAAGGTTATTCGGGATGGTATCACATTGTGTTCGTGTTAGGGATTGAGTGATTTGCGTTTCAGCATTCGAGATGGTATGACTTTTGTGTTCGATTCTACCGGTATCTAAATTATGGCTGAGATGAGGTGGGATGAGATGGTTGATGTGGTCTTAATTCTTCATGCTAAGACGTGCTTTGTAAATGTGCAGCTCTTACTGGTTCGATCGTGATATCAGATGTGATGGTAACTCGTAAATGTTTTGAAGGACAACACCAATAGGGGAAAGCGGAGTTCTCATTAATGATGCATGGCTGAATCCTGTAAGCGTGCTGGCTGGCTAGCTACCAGGTATCGATGCAAGTAGATTAAAAGCATCTCTGAAATCTTGTTCATGCAAAGAAAGGGAGGGGAAAGAGTACATTTTTTTTCGGGGCAGTTGAAATTCATGTCAGCTTTTCTTTAATATCTTGTGCCGCGATAATGCGCGCTCATGTGCTAAAATGATGCATGCTTCAAAGTTGGATGATTTCTTATCTGATGTTTGAAATGTTGGTGTCCGATCTGCAACGGCGGCATAGGATATTTTCTCCGAATGTGGCATCTTCCCCAGTAAAATAAATCAAAATGACCTTATCGTGCGTTTCCTAGGTAAATGTGTACTGTGCGGAGTAGGCAGTTACGACGTAGCAACTCATTCGCAAAGTTGACCTACAATGACAAAATTTGTCCAAGGGGCTGACTATTTCGAAAGAGATTTTGCATTCCTTGCTTGCATTTCCTTCATTATATCAGATATGGCTGACCTTGACAATATTCGAATCCCTCTTACCGTTAGTGAAGAATCTCTGACCTCCTGTCTTATCAATAGAATAAACGAATGGTTAATGAAATGCATCGCGTTAAATAGCCGCCGTCATGTAAGCATCGTTTGATTCGAAGAGGGAGGATCTTTCGGGGACTAGATCAAATGCAAGAAGCCGTTTCTTCGGGGAAGGAGAAAATAAATCGACTTCTTTTGCGTACTATGGGGCCAGGAGGGATTGCAATGTGGACTCTACGGACTCTCTATCTTAGCTGTAAACAAGACGGACGCCCTACCACACAAACCAACAACTTTTCTGGCTGGCTGGTATGAAAAACTTTATTTTTATTCACTCCTTTTTCTTTCTCTTTTCCCTTTTCCTTTTCTTGCACATATATCATACATTATACATCATACAAACGTACAGACATACATACATACATAATTAACCCCCGGTTTCTCACAACATTTTCTTCATCCTCGTCATTCTCCTCCATTTCCTCGTTTCTTTCTCGTTGTGTGTGCCCTTTCCATTCCATATCTTATCATACAAATATTCCGTTTTGACCTGTCGAATTGTACCAATCTCACACAAGGGGGATTCGAGATAATTTTATTCAATTGGGACATTGCGATCTTGTTTTTTTTTTTGAAGGACGAAGCTGAAGAATAACCACGTCCATTGTGATTTCCCGCCAAGTGTTGACAAAACTAACAAAGACCAAATTTCTGCTGGACTTTGATCATTTTCAACCCCCGAAAGCTTCTTTCTCCTTTTGCTTCGCCACAGTAAAAAACATCATACCGTCCGAGGAGTCTTTCGCAGACTTTCTTCGCGACTTCCTCGGTCTGTGGCCCTCATACGATGCATTCCGTGCAAACGGGGATTTTTAGATATTCGCTGTGCTCGAGTAGCTGATACTTTTTGATATCTCTCAAGAGCGCACCGCTGAGCGCTGCAACATCCACTTTTTCCAAGCTCGTCTTTCAGTGGCCACAAAGATGTTCACCCTTCTCCTAGAACTATGGCATCAAATTGCGGCTCTCAAGCCATCTTTTATTTCCAAAAGTCCTCATTTCAATTTCATCACCGTACATTGTAAGTTCAGAGACTCGCATAGCGAAATGGAAAATTCCGGATTGTGTAACGAGACTAACTTTATGCCATGAATAGATTTCTGGATCATTGGAATAACACTCCTCGGCTCTTTATGTTTATATATCCGAGGAGGAATCGATTACATAGATGCTCTATTCTTCGCAAGTGGTGGTGCAACTCAAAGTGGCCTGAATACTATCAACCTCAATGACCTCAACACATGGCAGCAAACTGTTCTATACTTGCTACCTATATTTACGAATCCAATCACGATCAACTCTTTCGTTGTCTTCCTCCGATTATATTGGTTTGAGAAACGATTTCAGCACATTGCCGCCCAAAATAAAAAGAATCGGAGGAGCATTGGGAAGTCATTCTCAAAGTCGAGAACAACTGATGTTGGAGCTGTAGATGAAGAGAAAGGTGTTAATGGCAGAAATATTGTTGTAATGCACGGTACGACACGAGCGAATGTTATGCAAGATGGTAAGGATGCTATTGTGGATATACAAGATGCAATCGAAAAAGAAAGGGCGATGAACAGGGCAGAGGCTATTAATGGTTCTGGGAGTAGTAACCTATCAAGTACAGAGACGGCGAACGATCCTAGCCCTACCTCTCATCAGACACAAATTAAGTTTGCCGATCAAGTAAAGAGGAGTAATGGAATGGATGATGAAGAATTGCGATTACCAGTTCGTCGCAGGGACGAGGATCACATTGCGTTTCTAGAACGTCAACGAAATCCGGAAGACAGGACTATCCTTCGAATCCCAGGACCAAGAGATGCAGATGCTGGTGTATCTCCACAAACCGTTGAGGAGGAGGAGGAAGGGGACCCGGTTATAAGAACATTATCGCGCGTAGGTTCTGCGTATTCTCGAAGAGGAAGTATTGATCGGGGAACTTTGAATGGGGAGACACAATGGCAAGATCATTATCCCTCGAGGAAGCGCAATATTACAATCGAAGTTCCGACGCATCCCAAGGTTGATCGCGCGGTCGATGATATGAAAGCTGCAGGCTCCACGATCAAAGGCGTCATGAGATTCCGCAATAATAGAACCATGGAGCGCAACGAGGCCACCGAAACCCAGGGAAATGGGGCCGTCATCACAAAATTGAAGTCGAGGGCTCCAACATTTCAAAGCATAAAGACAGCCCTTACTGGTGAAAAGGAAGATCCCACTCCTTATTTGAGTTGGGCGCCAACCATAGGTCGTAATTCAGCTTTCGTTGATCTGACCGAGCAGCAAAGAGAAGAACTCGGTGGAATAGAGTACAGGTCACTAAAATCATTGGCTTTAATTTTGTCTTGTTATTTTATAGGGTTTAGTATATTCGCTGTTGTTTGTCTATTACCTTGGATTCTTAATAATCATACCTATGGTTCAATAGTCGAACAGGACGGCCAGGGTAGAGTATGGTGGGGCATTTTCACAGCTAATTCTGCTTTCACGGATCTGGGATTTACCCTCACCCCGGACAGCATGATCTCTTTCAACACAGCTATTTGGCCGCTCTTACTGATGTCATTTCTGATTATCATTGGTAACACGGGATTTCCAATTATGCTCAGGTTCATCATTTGGGTTACCACATTGTGGGTGCCTAGGAACAGTGGGATTTGGGAGGAATTGAGGTTTTTGCTCGATCATCCTCGTCGATGTTTTACACTTCTTTTCCCAAGTAAGGCGACTTGGTGGCTCTTCTGGATTCTTGTCATTTTGAACGGCTTGGACCTGTTATTCTTCATTATCCTTGATGTGAGTTTATCCATCTCCATACTATTGTGACTTACTGATAGCCTATCTTAGCTTGGCAATTCGGTCGTAACTGATTTACCGGTGAACATTCGCGTTCTCGATGGTTGGTTCCAAGCTGCTTCCACAAGAACGGCTGGGTTTGGAGTCGTTAATCTTGCCCTACTTCATCCTGCTATTCAGGTTTCCTATCTAATTATGATGTACATTTCGGTTCTTCCTATTGCCATATCTGTTCGTCGAACGAACGTTTATGAGGAGAAATCATTAGGTATATACGGATCGCCAACAGAAGAAAATGAGGATGAGGGAGAACCATCTTACGTCGGTGCCCATCTTCGAAGACAATTGTCTTTCGATTTATGGTATATTTTCTTGGGCTTTTTCATCATCTCAATCGCCGAGGGCAGCCGCCTCCAAGGTACTGATCCATCGATTAATATGTTTTCGGTCTTGTTTGAGATTGTTAGTGCCTACGGTACAGTTGGCTTGAGTTTAGGATACCCAGGGATTGATGCCTCCTTGTCTGCCGAATTCAACACTGTCTCAAAACTCGTCATAATCGCTATGCAAATTCGTGGACGTCATCGTGGTCTTCCGTACGAACTTGACCGAGCCATCTTATTGCCAAGCGAACATTTAGCACAGAAAGAAGCTCAAGATGCAGCACAAAGAGTTCACCGTCGAAATTCAAATGCGACAATAGTTAGCAATGGAGTGGATCTCGCAACCGTCAACACCGCTGTCCAAAGATCCAACACGGAGCGCCAAGCCCCCGCAAACGAGC